GAGAAAGCAAGTCACCAGATTCAGGACTCGAACCCTGATCAGCCATGTGGGAGTGTCCAGCGCCTCAACCACCACACCACCTGCTGGTCCCCCTATATATTTAATTCTAATTAAATTTAGTGATTCTTTTTAATTTAAATAATACATAATATTTATATGTTTATTTAATTCTATTTAATATAATCAATATTATTTTATTTAAATTTATTTATTTTCATAAATAATTTTCAACTCTATGTGGGAGTTCAGCACCCTTAACCAACATACCAACTGCCAGCCCCAAATAAAATTCTTTTTTTTTCTTTTTCTTTCCTTTTTTTTTTTTTGGAGAGGTTTTTTGCTATAGGGCATGTGCACTCTCCAGAGAGACAGACAGAAAGTGAGAAATCACCCCCTAGGGGGGATGGCCATGCCGCAATCCCTTGTCCTCCATTCTCCTCTTGGGATCTTGGGCACGCACGCACACGCGCCTGGCGTGAGTTTAAGCCACTGGCTCCGGGACTCGAACTGCGGTCGACTACATGGGAGTCCAGTGACATAGCCATTACGCTAACTGCTGGTCCCCCACAAAAAAAATTCTTAAAAAAAAAAGAAAACTCACACTGGGCACATGTGCATGCATGTCCAAAATCTCGAGATGAAGGGATTGCCACATGGCCATACCCCGGGGGCTGATTTTTCACTTTCTGTCTCTCTTCTTCCTCTGGTGAGCACATGTACTGTATAGCAAAAATCTCTCAAAAACAAACTTTTTAAAAAAGTTTTACTTATTTCTTTCAAAAGAAAGAAAGACAGAGAGAGAGAGACAGAGAGACCAGGTCTTCATGCCATCACCCCCCTCAGCCTCAGCCAGCCTCAGATGACAGGCATGTGTGCGCCAGTCGACTCAGGGGGTCTTGAGATGCAAATCCAGAAGCTTCCCCTGTGGGTTGGCTTCTCAAAGTGTCGTGTTTTACTGCTGTCACTGCTCAGGTCCTGCAGTTTAATTTTAAATAACACAACAACCAGCTCTGAGAGTCCCTAGAAGTTTTTCGAGCAGCTTTCCTCAGCAGCTGGGCACGCCTAGGGCTGGGGCTGACCACACAGGCTCCTGCACTTCCCCAGATAGCCACCAGGGGGCGAGGAAGCTTTGTGGTCGCATCTGGGGACAGGACTGGGGGGCTCACCTTGTGGGGGTCAGGCGACGTGAAGCTATTGCACTCCAGGAAGAAAGGGGCCTCAGGGAGCAGCTCGTACAGAAACACGCGAGTGTCACCCTGGAGGTGGAGCATGGGATGGGACAGTCAAGTGGCCAGTGCACCAACCTTCTCCCCACCTCCCCCCAGGGAGCATCCCAGCCCACCTTGCCAGTGAGGAGCACCAGGCCCGTGTCTGGGTCGTAGCTGGGCAGCAAGGTGGATGGAGCCACATCAAGGCCCAGCACTGCCAGGGGCCCACCGGCCAGGGCCGTGGCCTCGTACAGGAGCAGCTGGCGTTCACTTCGGCTGCAAGGGGGCCAGGGCAGACGCGGCACCTTAGGGCCAAGCGTGAGGCCAGGGTGGGGTAACAGCTCCTGGACCTGGGTTCTTCCTGGGCGGGGAGCCTGAGGGCCACCGGGCTGTGAGGCAGGCCTGGTGAGCCGTCGACCTGACCTGTGGCTCACTTACAGCCCTCCTCCCTGCATACCGCCCCAGACCCCTCCCTCACAGCACTGGCCCTGCTGTGGCCTCAGTCTCAACCTCACTCCCCATGCTGCTCTAGCCCCCTGCTCCAGATGGGTAGACAGCAATACCCTCTCCTCCAGAACTCTGGTGAGCAGCTCTTTTGTGACCCAGCTCAGAAGACACCTCCCTTGGGAGGGCCTCCCTGATGCCTCCTCTAAGAGGCCAGATACCTACCTCTCAGGCCTCTCTGGCTGGCCTGGTTCTGTTTCCTGTGCCTCACCTGGTCCACACTGGGCATCCCTCTGGGTCCCTGATGGCTCGCTGTCCCTCCCTACACTCCTCCCTCCCCACCTTTGCCCATCTTCCCCCTCCCTTCCTGCCACCTGCCATCCATCAAAGCATCTATAAATCCAGGGACAGTTTCTGCAGACTGACAGGCATAAGTGACTTTAGGGAAAGGGACACCAATGGCTGCCGAACCTGTGGATGGCGATCCTGAGTCCTCACCTGTCAAAGCCAGACACCAGCAGACAGCGACCACCACATACCCAGACAACACGGGCTCCACGGGCCCCCTCGGGCCCTGGGCCTTCCTGTTGAGGTACATTACATGAAGCCGGGGACACCAAGCTGGGTCCAAGGGCCCCCAGCTCATGCTCACTCACCTGCAGGGGCTCAGGGCCCCCCCGGGGCTCATAGACACGCACATGCCCATCCTTGCAGACAGTGGCCAGCTGCTGGCCGTCGGGACTCCACGCTAAGCCAAAGATCTGGGGACATGTCGGGACTTGAGAGGAGGCCTCTCACCACCTGCTGGGCCCCTGCTCCCACAGCTGCCCCTACCTGGTCCCGGTGGCCCTGCAGCCTCAGCCGCTCAGCTCCGGCCCGCAGGTCCCAGATGCGAACTGTGAGGTCATAGGAGGAGGAGGCCAGCACGTCGGCTGCCAGCGGGTGGAAGCACAGGGAGTAGATCTTCTCTGTGTGGCCTGAGGAGAAGCGTGGGGTGATGAGCCCCCCTCCCCCGAGCTACTGAGCCCTCCCACCACCCCGGGCCCACCTGACCTGTGAGCACAGCCTCAGGCACGGTGAGCACCTCCTCCAGGCCCTGTGGGGGCACCCGCCACAGCCGGATCCTGGCATCTTCTCCAGCTACAGGGAACAGCAGCTCAATGCTGGGTCTGACCCTTGGGTTCCCCTCCCCATTCAGGACATGGGGCCCTCCCTGAGGCCTAGGCACCCAGCCTCCTTACCCACAGCAAGGCGGCAGGGGTCAAAGGGGTCCCAAGCTAGATCGGTCACAGCTACCCCATTCTGCAGCGTGGGCAGTGTGGTGTCGGGCAGGCGGCCGGGTTTCTGCAACTAGGAGAGGCACCCACCCCATGGCCCATCAGTACCAGGCAACAGGCCAGCCCCACCACTGCAGCAGGTGCCCCACTGCTGCACGGCCAAGCTCTCTGCCTTCCCCACCTCATGCTCTGAGTCCCAGGTGCCGAACGCAAGACCCCAGAAAGTGAGGAGCAGTAGCATGGAGTGGTGGGAAAGCTCGGGCTTGGGACCTGGCGGCCTGGGTTTGAATCCCAGTTCCACTGTTCACACAGCTGTGAGGTCCAGGCAGATCATGAGACCTCTGTGCCTTTTCACCCTCGTCTGTAATGGGGGCAGAAGCAGAACCCACTGCACGAGCAGCTCAGAGGACCGCAGGGCACAGCAGGCACCACCGCATGAGCGGCTGGGGGGGGCGCAGGGCACAGCGAAACCGACTGCACGAGCGGCTGGGA